GAAAAGTTTAAGTATTTGAAAGGATGTTTAGAAGGGACTCCACTTAGTTTGATTCGTAATTTGCCAATAAATAGCGATAATTATCAAATTGCTTACGATTTAATTGTTAAACGCTACACAAATGTTCGTCGGTGTGCGACCGCGCATTGGGATGCGATCATGGGCGTGCCGAAAATGTCGTTAGTTAATTCGAAAAATCTGGCTAAATTAGTAGACACGTTTTTAGAAAATTTAGCCGCATTGAAAACATTAGGCCTTCCGACAGAACATTGGGACTTTATTATGTTTAATTTACTTTTGTCGAAACTAGACGCGGATTCAGTAAAATTATTTGAATTAGAAAATAAATCGAATAAAATCCCGTCATTTCAAAAATTAGTTGAGTTTATTGAAACTCAGTACATTGCTTACGATAATTTGAATAGTAGCGTAAGCGAATCTAAGAAGTCGTCGCGGGCCCCAACTTATACGGAGCCTAAGGGTAATTATAAACATTCGAATGAGTCTAGGCATAATCGTAGTTCATCCTTTGTTACAAATTCGTCATTAGTAAGCTGTGCTTTATGTAAGCAAAGTCATTTTCTAAACCAGTGCTCGTTGTTTTTGAAGAAATCTCCAAAAGAGAGATACCAATTTTGTAAAGAATCTTCCTCGTGTTTTAGATGTCTTAATCAGGCTAATCATTCTGTCAAGTCGTGTCCAAAGTCCTTTAAATGTAGTAAATGTAATAGTCACCTTCATAATAGTTTGCTGCACTTCGATAGAAATCGTTCCAATAGTCAGTCGTCCACAGAAAATACTAATAATCCAGGGGCATCGGGAGTCGAACAGAATTCGCCTGAAATATCACATTGTGCTGCTAGTTTTGTAGGGAGGAAAAACGAAACAAAAAAGGAAATCTTGCTCGGTACCGTTTGGGTTCATGCAATTGATAGTAAGGGGTGTAAACAGCCCTTGAGATGTCTTTTAGATTCGGGTTCAATGAGTTCGTTCATTAGTCGAAAAGCTGCCAGTAGATTAGGTTGGCCTAAAACTCCTTGTTCGTTTGAAGTTAACGGACTCAATTCGATGCAAACGAAGCTGAATCAAGGTCAAATAAGTTTTTCTATCCAACCTCGTCATCAGGAGTCACCGGTGTTTCACTTGGAAGCTGTTATTACAGATCGGGTTTGCTCGGATTTGCCGAGCACCAAAATTGACATATCGACGTGGAATTATATCAAAAATTTAAAGTTAGCCGATCCCGAATTTAACTGTAGTCAATCTATTGATTTGTTAATTGGTTGTAGCATATTTTCGAAGGTGTTGTTAGAAGGTAAAATTGAAGGTAAAGCGGGACAACCTGATGCCCTAAATACCGTTTTTGGATATATTTTGTTAGGACCTACTAGCACACCTAATCTTTCGTCGACTTCGCTTGTTTGTCTTTCAAATATTGAAGACCCATTAGATTCTTCATTATCGAAATTTTGGGAACTGGAAAACATACCGGAAAAGCCAGTTTCAGAACCAGAAGACGCTCTGTGCGAAAACATTTATCGGGAAACACATAATCGGGACGTCTCAGGTAAATATGTCGTGTCTTTGCCTTTTCGTGAATCGCCGCCTTGTTTGCAAGATAGCTATGATATTGCTTTAAATAGACTGCTATCATTAGAACGTCGTTTATCTCGTCAACCAAGTTTGAAAAAAGAATATTCTTTTCATATGCAGGAGTATCTTGATTTAGGTCATATGCAGTTAGTCCCTAATGCCGAAAAGAAAAGGGGAAAGTATTACATTCCACATCATTGCGTTGTGAAACCAGATAGTGTTTCAAATAAAATTCGAGTTGTGTATAATGCGTCTCAGAAAAGTCCCAGTCTTGGCAAATCTTTGAACGAATATTTACTGGTCGGTCCTAAGCTACAACAGAACATAGTCTCGCTTTTGTTAAATTTTAGACTTAATCGTTTTGCGTTGTGTGCGGACATTCGTCAGATGTATCGCAATATTTTAATCGCTCCTGAACACACGGATTATCAACGCGTGTTATGGAGATTTTCTAGCCTTGAGGAAATTCAGGAATATCGTTTATTAACTGTTACTTTTGGAATAGTATCTTCGCCGTATCTTGCTTTAAGAACCCTTCAACAATTAGCATTAGACGAAGGCTCTCGTTTTCCTAAAGCCGTCTCGCTTATTCGTCATGCTTCGTATATTGATGATTTTGTTTTTGGTGCTTCGACTCTCGAAGAAGCACAAACTTTAATTGACGAATTAGTTACTTTGTTAAAGTTAGGAGGCTTTGAGTTACGGAAATGGTGTTCGAATGAACCCAAATTGTTGTCGCAATTTCCTGAATCCCATATTAATCCTCATGCCATTAATTTTGATCCAGAAGCAAATGGTCCTTCATTAAAAATCCTTGGTTTGAAGTGGATTGCACAGTCCGACGTCTTTCAATTTTCAGTCAAATTGCAAGACGTCCCTTGTACCAAAAGATCGTTTTTGTCCGAACTAGCTCGAATTTATGATCCTTGTGGTTACCTAACACCTATTACGTTTTTCATTAAACATTTAATCCAACAACTTTGGGCAACCGGTCTTAAATGGGATGATCGCCCTCCTTCGGAAATAATTCGTGTATGGGAACAATATAAGAGCGAATTATCTCTTATTTCACAATTCAAAATTCCTCGTTTTTTGAATATTTCTTCATGTCCCATCTTAGAGCTTCATGGATTTGCCGATGCTAGTGAAAAGGGATATGCTTGTGTCGTTTACATTCGTAGTATTGATACTCGTAACCTAGTTCAAGTCAATTTACTGTGTGCCAAATCGAAAGTAGCTCCTATAAAACAGATTACTATACCTCGATTAGAATTGTTAGCTGCTGTTCATTTGGTAAAACTTATGTCGTTTGTGTTAGAGTCGTGGACAAAGAAATCTCGCCTTACTACTCTTCTAGTTCGTTATTATCATGAGAAGTATTTACATGCTGGATTTAAGAGTACTCAATTTTTGATTAGTCAAAGGTTTTGGATACTGTCTTCTAAACAAGCCATTAATTCAGTATTGTCCAAATGTATTAGATGTTGGAAACAATCTCCCAAAAACTTACAACCCCCTATGGGTAATTTGCCTAAATTTCGTCTCGGTGCCATTAAACCCTTTTCGATTTGTGGGTTAGATTATGGTGGACCGTTTTCGATAACCATGTCTCGTTACAGGGGAGTTAGAACTCAAAAGGCCTATTTGTGTTTATTTGTATGTTGCGCTACAAAGGCTTTACATCTGGAATTAGCTAGTGATTTGACCGCGGAAGCCTTTTTGGCCGCTTTACAACGTTTTGTCGCTCGGAGAGGTCGAGTATCGCAAGTATTTTGTGATAATGGCACTAATTTCCACAGTGCTTATCGACAGCTTAGTAGCTTTATGGAGAGCGCTCTCGATAAGGAAAATATTAAGTTTTCATTTGCTCCTCCTGCTGCTCCACATTTTGGCGGTATTTATGAACGCGGAATTCGTTCTGTAAAGGAACATATTGGTCGTATAGTCGGGGCACAAATTTTGACTTACGAAGAATTTTATACCGTTTTGACGTTAATTGAATCCGTCTTAAATTCACGCCCTCTCACCCCATTAACCAATGATGTTGAAGATCTCAATGCTTTGACCCCAGGACATTTCCTGACTCTTGAACCCTTGACATCTTTGTCTGTGCCTGATTTTTCGGAGGTATCCTTCAATCGTTTGTCCAGATGGCAGTTGTTACAGCGCATCCATAGAGACTTTTGGGCTCGATGGCGAAAGGAATATTTGCACACCTTGCAACAAAAGTGTAAATGGTTAGATCCTAGTTTTGTACCTAAAATCGGCACCTTAGTTGTTTTAAAGGAGGATAATTTGGCTCCGTGTAAGTGGCCTCTCGCGCGTCTTGTTGAATTACATGAGGGTAAAGACGGTGTAGCTCGAGTGGCTACCGTGCGTACGATTACCGGAACCTTAAAACGGCCTCTTGTCCGAATCTGTCCCGTGCCGATAGATGAAGATTAAATGGTCAGCATTTTTTTTTTACTGATTTTGTTTTGTTCGGCTTTTATGAATAGAACCACGACAAAACCACCATTTTAATTTTAATTTTTTTATTTTTTAGTTTAAGTTTTGAATATTTGTTTAATATTTGTATAGGAATTGTTTGTAGTAATTATCGTTTTGATTGTTTAAGTAATGATAGTATTTAGAATTCGTTTTGTTTTTTAAAGACCTTATGGCCTTTAAAGGGGGGAGAATGTTTAAATTCAAATATGGTTGTATAAATTAATCAAGACATTTTGTCCTCCCCCTGTATACCTTCGATCCCTATTCGTACCGTTCGGGTATGCTATGCATCCCGTAGGACACAAGCGCTTAAGTCGTTGAGCAGAATAGACGCAAGACACAACCCTCGCGAGTGCGTCGATGCATCGAAATCGGTTGGTTTTATAGTAGTGAATTATGGTACCTAATTAGCGGTTCGGTAAGTTCACCTAGTTTAATACCTTTGTTTGTTTTTTGATTGTTTTTGCAACCATTTAAATTTTATATTATTTGTTATTTGCACCTATGAGTGAAAGTTCATTTATCTTGCCAGAGCTATCGAAGGAATAGCTGGTATTAATCTTAGTACTATTAATTCGTAATAGTACATTATTTTGTTAAACCCCCACATGCATGTTTGGCGATATAAAGGACGGACCTAATATACCTCTCTCTTTCTAAACAGCTGTTTCTCACTCCATCTCACGTAAGGTCCATACCGACCATAAACTTTTTCCTACACTGTATATCGACAGGAGTGAAAGGGTTAAGAATCACATTCATCCGCAAAATTAATTAAACGTAAAGACCGTCAAACCAAAATTGCCAATTTATACTAGGCTTAACTGAATTATCCAAAAAACTTTATTTTTACTATGCTATTAAGAATCTCGAAATATTCAAATTATTATCTTTAAAATATTCAAAAATAAGCATACCCTATGTATAATTCCAGCGGAATGTAAATGTTTAATGCCACATAACATCTGATAGAGCAAGTAGCTCATCCTCTCGTGATCCAAATCCATCTGAATTACTTGACAGAGATTCGCGTCCATTAACTCCATAACTAGGTAAACATCTTGGAATTCCTCTAATGTCCGCTGTGGCGTAAAAGCGTTCAATAAACCGATTATCTGAAAATAATACAAAATAACTATAATGTGATACAAGTTGAATGTTCAATATTGATTGATTAATGTAATGGTAATGGCCGAGAATGACCCAAACGATTTTTCGAGCCAAATCGGGTCAAAATACGTCATTTTGGTAAAAACTTTATTTGTTTTTTGAGAAAACAGTTTCTGTTTCATTCTGAACGTCTATTACTTCCAGATAACTTAACTAGAACAAAAGGTAACATTATCAGTACCGTGCAAATTTGATATTTATGCCAAACCTTCCAAAAACTTGTGCTGTGCAAAAATTACAAACATTTTTATTCTACAGTTTTTTTATTATGTTGGTTATCCTATATACTTGGACAAAATTAAACCTTTAATGTAGAGATATATAGATAGATATAATCTCAAGTCACTTTCTTGGTTTTGGTAACATTATCATTTCAGCTACTTTACCGATGGCTCTTATATGTTTTAATTGAAACTGTCTATATTTACCTACTTCATCAGTCGACCACTTCAAGAGGAGTAAAAGTTTGTACTCAAGGAGGAGTCTTATTACTCCAGCTGTTGTTAATAGTAGTTGACAATGTTTTAACGAAAAAGCTCGACCTTTTAGCCAACGATCGACCTTTTTTTAACAAAGAAGCCTTTTAACGAAAAAGGTGCATTAAACATAGTAACTAACTTTTGTTTGAAGGAAATACTTTCGTTAAATCGTAATACATACTATCATCCCCGAAAGGAGTTAAATATCTTTTGGATATTCTTCAATATGAGATATCTCCACTAAAGCAACAGGAGTTTTACGGAAGTGCCGTAGGCTTTCTGGCGAATGGTGAGGGCTGAAAGCTAAAATGATCTCTTGGTTATGTATAGCCGTTGTCAGATCCTACTGGAATAATACAACGCAGTAAAAGGCAAGACCACAGTTTCAAGAGGTACAAATATTTGATTCTGTTAAAAACCATGGCCGCAATTAGATCATTAGATTTGTAGCCTTAGCCTTAGGTGATAGCAGATCTTTCCCATCTACATATACGTGTAATGAGGATAGCATTAGAAGATGCCTTTAGGCTAAGACGACTTAGTATCTCCAACTGCAAGGTAATTGCTATCGCCACAAATAACTAGAATAGGTATTTTTAGAACCTGACCATGTCACAAACGCATATCTATTATCTATATTAATAAAAATGAATCGCCGAAATGTTTGTATGGGCATCACTTTAGAAGGACTGCGCCAAATTAGATAATTCTTTTTTTGTTGTATTTGTTATTACCAGGAGAAAGTTTCTGTAAAAGATAATTTTCAAAAAATTGTACCGAAAGACTTCAAAAACAGTCTTCTGTCATTTTAAATCGCAATAGAACTAATAGATGATAACTATGACTAACAAAGAAAGCTATTATTACCAAAATAAATGTCAGTATTGATAGATTACGCACCAGCCATACCACACTGAATATACCGATTCTCGTTCGATCACTGAAGTAAAGCAGTGTCGGTTGTGGTTAGTTCTTGAATGGATGGCCGCTTGGAAACACCGATATTGTTGCCATATGAAACCTTCCCTTTCGGAAACGGCTGGACATATTTTTATGAAATTTTACATGTGTATTCTGTAGGTCTCAGAATAGGTTATCTATTTTTCATACCCCTAAAGGTTAAGAGTGTTTCATCCCAGACATTTTTTTTTAATTTTTAAAGAAAATGTTTTATTTTTGTTTTTATGAAGTGACATTAACAAAGACATACTTCCCTTAATTTTCACCCCTCTATTACTAGCTCCTCGCTTTAATAGCCATATTAGTGTCACATAGTTAGTTGCCATACTCCACCGAAACGGCTAGACCGATTTTTATGAAATTTTACATATATATTCGGTAGCTCCGAAAATAGGTTGTAATATACTTTTCATACCACTAAGACGCAGCCTGCATAAGGAATTTCATAAACTCCATGTTGTTCATTTGGAATTTTGTCTTTGATTGATCGGACAAGGGATTTAAGTTTTTGTTGGGGTAAATATTGACTTTATTCCTCTTGTTTTTTAGAATTTTGTCGATTTTGTCAGTTAGACCTTTGATGTAAGGGAGAAAAGGTTTCGCATGACGAGGGTCTGAGTCTTTGGGTTGAGATTGAATGGGAGATATTGCTCCTATGTGGATGCTCCTATTGATGTGATTTTGGCGATAACCGTTTGGGATGAGGGCTTGTTTTAAACTAGAAAGCTCAGCAGGTCTACTTGCATCATAGCAAAGGCGTATTGATCTCGAGACAAGCCTATCAATGACTGAATTAATTTGTGAAGGGAGAAGATGAGAGTTGGCATGCAAGTATGGGTATGGGTGGGTTTTAAATAAACAGAGTGATGAAAACCTTGGGATTGGTTGTTATTTATGATAACGTCGAGAAACTGTAGGGATGAATCAGTTTACACCTCCATCGTGAATTGGATACTAGGATGTATACCCCTTAGATGGATTTGAAGACACCAAAGCATCCCTGCAATGGGGGTAAAATGACGAATGTATTGTCAACATATAGTAGCCAACATGTGAGAGCTGTAGAATTGATTTTGGAAGATGAAATAAGGAAATGCAATGTTTAATGAGAGATAAGTGGTCTTGCTAGATACTGTATTTGGTTTTCAGAATGTTTAGAGTTTCGTCTATAGAAATGTTTGTAAAGAGTGAAACGATATCGAAACTTACTAGAATGTCTGACGGTACTAGAGGTTGTAGAGTTTTGGCCAATGGTTGTGTAGGGCAGTTGTATGCACTGACAACAGGACGTAGAGGAATATTGGGTTTGTAAATTTTGGGTACGCCATATATTCGAGGTGTTCTGGAAGAGTTTTCAAGAGAAATTAGAGATTGTTTTATGTCAACTAGAAGAGAAGTTTTATTGATAATGGCTTTTGTTGTTTTCTCCAGATAAGTTGTTGGATTAGTAGAAATTGGTCTGGAGTATTAATGAGATTTGAGTTTCTTAATATAAGAAGTGTTTAGGATGACGGTGGCATTGCCTTTATCGACGGGAAGAATGACTAGATTTGGATTTGACTGAAGTTCTTTCAGGGCTTTTTCTCGGATTGGCTAATATTTGGAGTAGAAGGCTTTAGGTTTCTAAGAACTCTAGCAATGTCTAGTCTAGTTATTTCATCATCTTGAAAAGATAAACTGGAGCTTCTTTAGTTTGAGAGGTGATTGCCTCAGTTGGAATGTGACTTAGGGTAACAGAGTAATTAAAACCTTTTGCTAAAGCTCAATTGCCACTCAAGCTTTTGGAAAATTTTATTGTAAGAGTTATTCTAAAATAGAAATTTGTATTGCCAAGTAATAAATAAATAATTCGTATCATAAAATAAATAATTGTGTTTTTAGTGTAGACGAATTAAAATAAGTGTATATAAACTGAAGGCTGGAAATAAGAGATAATAAAAACATTTCAATATAAAAAGTACGCAGATATAAATACTTATATATGAGATCTTTCAGCGTTACGTGTTTTTTGTCAGTCAGTTCATATTGTTTTAAATTTCATTAGTAACTTATGTATTCCGACACATATAAAAGCGAATATACTCCTCATACATTATAAATTTCGTAAAAAAGACAAAATAATAAACTGAGTTACTTACATTCTTGTGGTTGACTAGTTTCATGAGTTTGAACTCTCTGTACGCTCTTTTGGCATGTGTGACGTTCTGGAACGGTCGACTGAGCTTCTTAATAGCCACATTTTGTTGAGTTGCTGTGTCCAATGCAGCACTGTAACGATGACAGACATATACATTATGTTAAAATTGAATGTTTTTGTCAAAAACGATGTACGAAAATATAAATACATAGGGATAAATAGTGGTAAGGACCCATGAAGAAGTAAGTATTGTTTGGCATACTTTACCTTGTCTCTGATCTTTGGTGCACCAGAAGTAACGAGAGAGATTACGATTTAAACTGAGCGGGCACCATTTTGCTTGCAAATCTGAGACAAAATAAATTTTACCAAACAGTACATATCTATTTGATAATCAATACAAGCACAAGTTGATAAAGAAGTTTAGAGTAAAGTTTATTTGAAACAATGAAGTTTGGAAAATGACTTACCAAACTATCCCTTGAGCTCCAGATCCAATGGGTTTCAGGTTTTGGTATCTCTTTAGAATGGTAAATTTCGTGTCGCCCACCTCGACGGTGTAAAATTGGGACAATCGTGACATCTTTTGTCTTTAGCCTTGTTCAGTCAAGGCCATTGTCTGTAATATAATATTAATAATTTAATACCTGAAGATAATAAAAAAAATGTTTAAAATGTATAAAAATTCGTAAAAGTTTGATCCGATGACCAAGCGTGCTAACTTCGATGTTAATAATCTATAGTGAAATTCACACTGAAAGTGCAGTACAGCTAAGATAGAGCAATTCTTTTCTTATGGAGAATAAACAACGCACAGGGTTGTCGGCCTAAGCCAGCAGTTGATTGCTCATTCAAGAGCGTCGCACAGAACCGGCTTGGATAAAATGAATCTTCCGGCAGTACGAGTATAATATGTTATATTACGTAAACAGTAGAATAAAAAAGCATTGTAAGTTGTAATAATTGAATAATCCACGAAATGTATAACTAGTTTGGAAAGTATTAATTTTTTTTTTCGAATAATTTGTACTTGAAGTAGCAAGTACAAACTTCGAATAATTTCGAGGTAGATTTACGAAATTGGACAAAAATTGTTAAAATATGTACAAATATGTAGTTATGTCATTCAATCGAATGATTCCTGTAAATATATTCCTCACCATTTAGATGAGTTATTGACAACGAAAAATATGAATTTTGCGAATAAAACGTCAACATGATATCTAATACAAAAATAAATAAAACGTGCAGATTAAATTTTAGTACATGTGAAAGTGCCTTTGGAAAACGTACCTACACTTCAGTATATAGTCTGCCTTTGAACAGAGAGCATGGAGTCCCATAAATTAACCCGGCTTTTTCTTTTTTGATGTTGTAAATGCTTCTTTCGCTAATATCAGTCATCAACGAAGTACGCCTTACAGCATCACTCACATCAAAATTTTTTGTAAAAAACACAATATATTCAACACTACTAGTTTGGCACAACCATTTAATGATTGTTTACCTTGAAAACGCATCTTGATTTTTGTTGCTAGGACACTTGAAACGAAAGATGTCGGATTGTTACCGTCGAGCTGATAAAAATTTTAGAATATTGATTTCGCGCGCGTAACTGACATTCAAAATCGACGGTCGCTTCAAGTGTTGTTTGTTAGAGAACGGTTCATTCTACACAAAAAGTGCTAATAAACATTTTTGTTTAAAATTATCTCAGCTACATTTTTTATTTAAAACATTTTTTCTAAGGCGCACAGATTCTTGGTAAATCGATTTGTTTGCGTTTTTACCCCACTACCGGTGAGATTTAACGGTAAACACCAGGGGTAAAAGTAGTAAACATTTCTGCATCTTTTTTGGGGTCCCAAAATTAGTATTCTCGGCAAAATTCAGCTTGTTTGTATGATTTTTAGAGGTTCAGAGGCATTTTCGTCTCTGACGACTTGCGTACAGTGGGAACAATGAAGTCAGTAATATCATTTTTTAACCTGTCAACCAAGAGAAACGAAGTTTGAAGAAATGAAATCCAACACCATGTCGACTTTGAAAGATAGAAGATCTAACTGCGAAAAAAGTTTTATTAAGATCTATACTGAAGTTAAAGAATTGGCAGACGAATTGGAAGTTGAAGTGAAGTTACCTAGATTTGTGGGTAGACACACTAAGAGAGCTAATCATCCAGGTTAACCAGAAGAATATTACAGACTTTCAATTTACATTTTATTATTTTTTAGTCAGTGTGGCTACAGCAGAGAGGTTAAGAAAAGTGAAGACTAGGCTAAGTGCAAGGATGGGGAAACCCGACTCACAGGTCTTTGCCTCCTTCATGTTCACCGATGCATTAAAGTAGACACTGAAAAGTAATAGAGCGATTTGCACATCAGCGAGTCAGACGACTCGAATTTGTTGTTTGACGTTTAGCGTACAAGAATAATTTTTGCACTAGACAAATAAAGTAACTTGACCAATATTATTCGCCTTTTGTTTATGCTATTTTAATTTAATAAACTAAACTACATTTCTTTCTTTGCATTTGTTGGACTTCATGGGGTTTTAGGTTAAAATTTGCTTATTTTTCTTTAATATCGATAAGTTTTGAATGCCGTTACGGCACTCAAATGTGTGTGAAATGTAACTTAAAACTCACCATTTGAACCCTAATTTTTAATAAAATTCCCTCCGGTATCCCCCCAAAAAAGTTCATGCCCCCCCCCCCCCCGAAAATCAGTCCCGGATCCGTACGCCCTTGCATGGTGGAGCAAGAGGATATTATTCATTGGCGCCATAATTATTTGAGAATTATGCGACGTTTGTGAAGAGACGATTGCAACATTCGTCCATTTGGACGAATCGTACGTTAATGTTGGCCAATCTGTTAACCCATTAACGGCCAAGCAATGGAACAATAATTTCTCCGAAATTTTTTTTTTGAAACTAGATGCCTCAACTAAGATATGCTTATGATTTTTAACAACAAAAAATAACAATACCATCTAAAAAATTAAGGGTGCGTGGCAAAGAAGCCTAGATCCTACAGTGTCGCAAAAAGAGCATAAGAAAAGAAATTGTCGAAAAAGACTCAATGCTCTTGGGGTTTGTCAACTACAGAAATTAACTCTAAAACTACCTTCGTTCCCAAATTATTACCCGAATCAAAATTATTATGTTGTTTTCCTCCATATGGTATGAATTTGTATAAATAACCTGTGATCAAAGACGCCATAATTTAAATTCAAATCTTACAGGCTTTCTCCGAATGAACATCTTGCATGAATGACGTCCAAAATATGGTACCATTTCGTCGTCTATTGACAGGTTATGTTCGAATATACCAAATTGTAAAACATTTATATTCATTATATGAAAGATATTAGTAATTTTAGCAAATTTATTATCTTTGTCTAATTGAGTATTATCAGACAAATGAATATTTTTGTTTGATTGATCGAAATTTATTTCTAGACATGGTTTCCCTTACAATGGCTACTTCCTTATCTTCATCTTTCGTTTTGCCACAATACATGTCACATTGTGGCAAAGTATGATAACCCGATAATATCCAGATACCGATAAGCGTTTCAATTCAGCTTCATTCATTTCGAATTTGTGACGATTGTTTTGTGCTGCATAATTATTTAAAAAATGTATAATCTGGCTTGTGACTTCATCATCGAAAAATAATGAAAATATTTCAATGCGCGACTTTCCTTCATGGCTGGCTTTGATGTTCTCTAATAAACGATTGTTATTACTTTCAGGATGATTCGAGAATACTGGAGTGGTGTTTGTTTCCCATTTTGGTAAAATTTTCTATTTATTTTGATTAGGTTTTCGCATTGGGATATAATCTTCTTCAGAATCACTTGCTGTCGGAAAGTAAAATTCATATGTTCCTGTAATTTCTGCATCAACATTATCTTCTTGAATGAGGTTATCATATAGATCTTCGTCCTCAGTAATTTCATTAACATTAGGAGGGATATATTAACTTCTACTTCACATGCATTCTCTATATCTGAATCTTCTTTAAGAGATGTAATTAATTCCTTAGTAGTCAAAGGTCGTGTTCGATCATAAATCTCCTGTGCAGTCAAAGGTCCGAATGCTCACTTTTGGCTTTGGTCCAACGATATTCCAGAAGAACTTGGTTGACACATATTGACTGTGATAAAAAAAAACCAAATTTAAGGCTAGACAAATCATTTTGAAACAAAAAAAAAGTTGACAACTCATCTTTAGATCACTTTGAATAGTCCCTTGTGCAACAAATATTTTTAATTATTATTTATGTAATATAAAGCACCTTACAGTTACGAAAAGCTATTATATGTATTACAATTACAGTACAGATGTAATTGACAAACTGACCGACGGTTGATGTGATGGCCATCAATCGTCACTGATGCCATTATGCGCCAAGGGTGCGTACGCACACCCTCAATATTTAAATTAAAATTTGAAAATTCCCGGCCAAGTTTCATCCAAGTATGCAATTTAGAATGGAGCGTAATAGTATTTTGAAGCTATATTATCATAACATACATCTTGGTTGGGTCAAAAAGTCGATAAAAAATTATTGTCTTCATGATGTTGTCACAATAGTTGAAAAATCGTGTTAGTTTCACAAATTGTAAAACAGCTTGTTTTATCTAAAATCAAGTAAAGATGGTTATAAAGATAAAATAAATATGCTAGAATAGTTGTGAATACTTAATGAAAAGGGTGCGTAGCCGTACCTTTGGCTGTTAATGGGTTATGACCAATGGTGCGATACCACTATACAAAACAGTCGCGGTGTTTTCCTCCACTGGATTAAAAACATATACCAAACGAGGTTCATGTTTTATTACATGCAGGTTTTTCAGGAGGTTTCCTTCCTAGAAAACAGCGTGTTTTATGGTAAAGAAAAATGGTGGAGACTATCACGATGTAATGGATGCCACAGATTTTGAGTCGTGGTTTAAAGCGACGTTAATACCAAATGATCGTAGGTATGCCATTGTAATGAACAATGCATTGTATCATTCCAGTAGACAGAGATTCCCTAACAATTCCTGGAGTAAAGCAGCAATCAAGAAATGGCTAGTGGAAATAGACATATTTTTGGAGGTGTGCTATTTGAAATTCGATCTATCAGAAGCAGCGCGTGCTTTTAAAGATGAATACGATAAATATAATCTTGATGAATATATTGCACAATATAAAGTTTCTATTTTAAGACTTCCTCCGTATCATTGCCAATTAAAAAATATAGTAATGGTGTTGAACTATAGGTGCGCCAGTTGATTGACGACGGTTTCGTATGCGTAACAAAGCAAAATTACCACTCATGCCGTTGAGAAAACGGTAACTGAAATGTGGACCGCGGACAACTTGCAAGATGACATAGAGCAATTGATTATGCACGCGAGTACAGGGGAGAGTAGCTGAATCTCAGATGTAGAGGGCGACATTAGTATAATTGAATATTAGTGAGTTACCTAAAGTATTCTGTAGATAATCCATCAGATTACGAGCTCTTCGGGTATTAAGCTGTGTGCATAGAAATCGAGTATTTTTGGGTATTTTTCCGTTGGAAAGCTTTGCGATATCTTACGAAAAGGTGGAATAGGCCACAATATGAAAATGGCCACTTTTCAAACGTCAAAAACAATTGAACTTAGATATAGAATATGATACAGGCTATTACCTATAGAAATTTTACTAACCATAGTTCTTCCATAAGAAATCGATGCAGTTCCCGGAGGTCTCACCCTGTATAGCTATCAAAAAATGTAATTTAAAATACATTTATTAGTTTAATAAAGCATACAATTTATAAAAAAAATTCTTGTTAAAATCTTAAGTCTTTTTATTAAAATTCATGCCTCTTATTTGACTACTTGAAAACAATTATTTGTAAATATATGTATTTTACAATAAATATCTAATGTGTCTCTGTTTTATTGTTCTATTTGGAATTATAAAATAAAATAAAAAAAGGTAGTTTTACTCGTAATAGAGCACCGGTAAAGACCTTTGTATGGTTCTGTACGGGATCACTACTTGCACCTGTTTGTCGTGAAATCCGGCAAATGCGCATTCTTATCTTAAACATACTACACTCTGTGTTAATTTCACTACAGTATTTTCATGAATCGAATCCAGACGCGAGCTAGAGATAGACGCACGTGCATCAGATCAAGCTATGGATGAACCGTAGATGTGAAGACTGAGGCAGGAATCACACTGCTCGACCAGACCGACCGTCCACGATCGACCAAAATTACAAGTCTATGAAAATGTATGCGTTGACTCAGACTGGTGGACCGTCCATCACTTACAGCGACCGACCGCGATCGTCCAGTTTTGAAATTCGGACTTGTTGGAATTTTGGTCGTTTGGTCGATGAATATGGAACATTTCGCATTCATTTGTGCTGTTTTGAGCTAAGACATTGACCATTGACATTTAAAAATTTGTAATTAACCTATAAAATTGGATTTGTTTTTGTTTCTTTGGATTATGTAGTTTGTATATCCAATACAAAAATTAAGGTTCTATTAATTTTTTGAAAATGCTAAGGAATACTCTGGAATACTAAGTTTTTGGAAACAGGACTTGTTCATGCGATAATAATTTTGAAATTTTATAAAATCATTTAATAGAATGGGGTATAACACAAATAATTCTCCTTGTTGGTGTCTTTTTAAAAAATGTCTTAAAAATACAAACTGTCCTACGCCTATAAAGATATCAAATAAGTGATAAATAATTTATCAGTAGAATTATTGCTGCTAATTCTATCCATAATTAAATTTTTTACAAAGAACCCAATAAAATGAAATAACAAAAATGTGGTTATGTTGCTACACACTCCTGACGTCTTGATGGTCGGTCGATCGATCGTGGACGAGTAATGTGAGTTTAAAAATAAAAATACAAAAGTTGGTTGTTCGCCGTCGGACGGTCGGTCGTGGTCGATCGAGCAATCTGATTCCTGCCTTACTGTCTGAAAATCGCGTCAACGGTAGAAACAACGGAAAATAATAAAAAATTCTAAAAGTGCATGCTTCAAAAGAGGTAAATTTTCTATTGAAGATGAAGACCCATCGGGAAGATCGGTTTCTGTATCCATCGCCGTAAATATCGATGCAGTTAATGACATTATTTTATCAAACCGTCGAATTGGACTACTATGTTACTATATAACTAATATCTGAGGCACTGAATATTTCAGATGAAAGCGTCCATCATATAATTCACGTCGATTTGTGCATGATAATCAAAAACTCCTTTCTTTTATTTACTTACCATGAAGAATCCATATCAAATCCTTGTGGTGGACGGCATAAACAAAAGTTTCTGTAAAAAAAAGGAAACGTTACACTGCGCTGTGAACTTTAAAAGTTTCTGTAAAAAATTATTTACTATCTTTAATGAGAATTAACCACAATTTCCGTTGAAACTACGTTTATCTCGTTGTTTCGATTTCCACTTAGCAAATCGTTCTCGAAATACAAATTTTCAACTAAAATTGTGGTCAATTCCCATTAAAGATAGTAAATAATATTAAAATGCCACAAGAAAATAGCTTCCGAACAATATTATATAAAGAAATGTAAAATAGCCGATCAAAGAACAACTTTTAATTGAGTTCCGCAGATATATACAAAGTCTAAACTCTCTCTCTCTCTCTCTCTCTCTCTCTCTCTCTATATATATATATATATATATATATATATATATATATATATATATATTGGGCAGCACTAAAGTGGAACTGGGCAGGTCATGTAGCAAGATCAGTTGATGACCGGTGGACAAAAATAATTTTGGAATGGAGACCCCGAATACAAGCTAACAGAAATAGAGGTCGACCCCCTGTTGGATATAGATAAATAAATTTAAATATTTTCTAGCAGTGTCATCTATTGGCTACTTTACTAGTTGAATAATGTATCACTTTCCTTTTTTAGTGTAGTAGCAAAATTACAGTCATAGAGTAAACAGGTGTTTCATTTTGTTCATCAAATCTCAATTTTTGTTCCAGAACTTTATAATTTCTCAATAGGTTATGGGCCCAGACGATTAAGTGGAAGATTTCCGATTAGTTCAAATAGTGTAGTACGTGTTCATTCGCTAAAAAGTTCGTGGATTAACAGTATCGAAAATGGCTGTAAACTATCTTACAAGTGTACCGCGTTTAACCGGTAGGGACAATTACCAGGACTGGTCGTTTGCGGTTGAGAATGTCTTCCTTCTAGAAGGATTGTCCAAGTGTATCCAGGGAACTGAAGAAGACACAACACTTGTTGCCAAAGCTAAGTTAATATTGACATTAGATCCATCCATATATTTGCATGTAAAAGATGCTTGCACGGCGAAAGATGTATGGGATACGCTGAAAAAATTATTCGAAGATTCAGGGTTTTCGAGGAAAATAGGATTGCTTCGAACGCTGATATCTTTACGGTTGGAAAACTGCAATTCCATGGAATCATACGTTAATCAAGTGATCGAAACGGCTCAGAAATTAAATAGGACCGGCTTCAAGATTGATGACACGTGGGTGGGGTCATTACTTTTGGCGGAACTTCCAGAAAGGTATATGCCCATGATTCTAGCTATCGAACATTCAGGAATCGCTATTACCACCGACGAAATTAAATCGAAATTGCTTGATATGCAGATAGACGGCGCTAGCAGTGGAAAGCAGAAAGCTGTTGCTACAAAGTCGAGTGAAGTTAGCACTAATCATGTCAAGAACGTCAACAAGAAAGACAGGAGAAATATAACCTGTTTTCGTTGTAAACAGAAAGGTCATTTCATGAATAAATGCCCTAATGCTAATAATAGTGCGTTTAGTGCAGTGTTTTTAAGTAGAAAATTTAAATCTACAGATTTTTATATCGATTCTGGATGATGCACGCATCTTACAGCTAGAAAAGATTGGTTGAGAAATATTCGAGATGGTAGTATGTCCAATATATCTGTGGCTAACAGTGAACTATTAACGGTAGAATGTGCTGGTGATATGATGATAACCACAATTGTTGATAATAAGAGATCTGAGGTAAGCATAAATAATATCTCACATGTTCCTGATCTGACAATAAACCTTTTATCTGTTTCTCAACTGATAAAAAATGGAAATGATGTTATATTTAACAATGCAGGTTGCAAAATATACAATAAAAATGGATTGATTACAACAGCTGATTTGATAGACAATGTATATCGTTTAAATTTTGAAGTGCCCAATAAGCAGAAAGCTTTTATGGCAACTACAATTAGTAGTGAAACATGGCACAGAAGATTTGGTCACATAATTTATAAAGACTTAAATCTAATGAAGAATGGTTTAGTAGACGGTATAAATTGCAACAGTAATATAACAAACAATGATATATGCAAAGTATGTTGTGAAGGAAAGCAGACTAGACCCCCATTTAGTTACAGAGGTAATAGAGCTAGTGCTTGCTTGGAGATTATCCATGCTGACCTGTGTGGACCGATGGAGATGACTGCATTAGGAGGTTCTAGATATTTCTTTATCCTTCAAGATGATTTTAGTAAGATGTCTTTTGTATATTTCCAAAAGGGTAAAGATTAAAATTTTCAAAATTTTAAATCTTTAGTAGAAAAACAGAAGGATACTAAAATAAAGATTTTGAGAACCGATGGAGGTGGTGAATTTTGTACTAATATTTTTGAAAATTTTCTAACAAGTAATGGAATCATTCATCAAAAGTCAAATCCTTATTCTCCACAACAAAATGGTGCTGTAGAACGATTAAACAGATCGATAGTGGAGAAAGCAAGGTGTCTTTTGTTTGACTCTGGCCTCGAAAAGATATTTTGGGCTGAAGCAGTCAACACTGCTGTTTATCTAAGAAACCGTTGAATTGTAACAGGTGTGACTAAAACTCCGATATAAATTTGGACCAACAAAAGACCTGAAGTTGGTCATCTAAGAATCTTTGGATCTGAGGTAATGATGCTTATACCTAAAGAAAAAAGGTATAAATGGGACAAAAAATCAAAGAAAACTGTGCTTGTTGGTTATAGGGACAACATTAAAGGTTACAGATTATATGATCCCGAAATAAAAGATATTGTTATAAGTAGGGATGTAGTAATAAATGAAAAATCAGTTGATCTTTCAATCACAGTTGATGAAGAGTTGTCAGGATTATCAGATTCAGTGGGAGATAATCATGAATCATGTCAGGAACAAAATCATCATAATGAAAAGGACACATCGGTTGATCAAATTGCTGAAGACAACGATCCTGATTACTTATGTAACTTGCCAAACTTACCAGATAAAATCAGGAGATCAACCAGAATACCTAAGCCAAAAAGGTTTGATGATTTTGTGAGTTATTTGTGTTCGGATAGTGACTGTGATCCAGTTAGTGTCGAGGATGCCATGTCAAGACCAGATGGTAATCTATGGTTAGCGGCTATGACAGAAGAACTGCAGTCTTTCCAGGATAACGCAGCATGGGAAGTGGTTGATGTTCCCGAAGATGGTTGTGTAGTGAAGTGTAAGTGGGTATACAAACGAAAGGTTAACAACTTAGGTAAAGTGAAATATCGTGCAAGACGTAGAAAAGTGTTACACTCAAAAGTTTGGAGTTGATTATAATGAAACCTTTTCTCCAGTCATAAGGCATTCTACATTAAGACTTTTATTTGCTTTGTCAGCAAATTTGAATTTAGATATTTTTCATCTTGATGTAGCTACGGCTTTTCTAAATGGTGATCTAAAGAAAAATGTTTTCATGACTATACCTGAAGGTTTAGAAGTCGAAAATAACAAAATTTTAAGGCTTAAGAAAGCCATATACGGTTTAAAACAGTCAGCTAGGTCTTGGTATGAAAAAGTCGATAACTTCTTAATTAATCTAGGTTATAAGAAATCTGATTATGAGCCATGTCTGTACACAAAGATGAAAAATAGTCTAAAAACCATTATCTCTGTTTATGTTGATGATTTTTTTATTTTTTCTAACGATTCAGATGAATCAGATAATTTAAAATTGAAATTAAATGAATGTTTCAAAATTAAAGATTTAGGAGAAATTAAGAATTGTTTAGGTATGAGAGTAACTCGTAATAAAGAGAATATATAAAGGTGTTATAACTCTAGATCAAAAATCCTATATTGAACAATTGTTAAAAAGGTTCAATATGGAGGATTCAAAAGAAGTTGCTACCCCAATGGAGATTAGTTTAAGTTTGAATAGAAAAGATAATGCATCTCCTCAAGTGCCTTATCAGAATTTAATGTCTTATGTATCTGTCAGTTTTGACAAGACCAGACATTTCATATTCTGTAAGTTATCTCAGTCAATTTAATAATTATCATTCAGAAACGCATTGGAAGCATGTAAAACGAATATTAAAATACTTAAAGGCTACAAAAGAGTATGGATTAAGTTTTTCAAAAAATGATAATTATTTAAAAGGATATGTAGATGCGAGTTGGGGGAGTAATTCTCATGACAGAAAATCTTATACTGGTTTCTATTTTCAGTTTTCTGGTGGACCTATTGTCTGGGAAAGCAGAAAACAGAATAGTGTTTCTCTGTCAAGCACGGAAGCTGAATATATAGCAGTATCGGAAGCTGCTAAAGAGGCTATTTTTTTAAAGAATTTTTTGTATGAAATGTTGGGTATTGATGAAATTGTTATACTACATAATGATAATATGGGAGCTCAGAAACTAGGAATAAATCCTGTATTGAATAGAAGAACAAAACACATTGATATCCGATATCATTTTGTCAAAGAAGCTGTAAACAAAGGTTTGATAAAGCTGGAGTACTTAGACACAGCTAACATGCCAGTTGATCCTTGACAAGAAGCTTGAGTCCTGTAAAACACAACAAGTTTTTGAAAGGGATTGGTTTAGTTAATGTAGTGTCAGAAATATTTGTTAAATGATATTTTTTAAATTTGTTTATCTAGTGGGAGTGTTGGATATAGATAAATAAATTTAAATATTTTCTAGCAGTGTCATCTATTGGCTACTTTACTAGTTGAATAATGTATCACTTTCCTTTTTTAGTGTAGTATCAAAATTACAGTCATAGAGTAAACACGTGTTTCATTTTGTTCATCAAATCTCCATTTTTGTTTCAGAACTTTATAATTTCTCAATACCCCCAACAAGATGGACAGATGACATAAAAAGAGTGACTACAAATTTGATTCAGATGGCGAAAAAAAGGACTAAGCGGAAAAGCATGCGAGAGGCCTATGTTCAGCAGTGGACGATAGAGGCTAGTTGATGATGAATATATATATATATATATATATATATATATATATATATATATATATATATATACTGA